AAAACTTACCACTAACTCAAGGTATCTTCCAAATATGCTTCAAAATCACATTTTTTTAATCAAATATTAAATTCAGTCCTCTATATCCGTAATACGCGCACGAGTCTCAAACCTTTGTAGACTACTTGTTTTTATTAATCTACTATTAAATCAAATATTAAAATGCCATCATAACCATCGTGGCGAACAGAAATAGTTTTTGCAGTGCTACAATAATTATTAAATAAAAGTCGTTATGTCAGCTATCCATATAAAATAATCCGCCGATTTGAAAATCAAGTTATTTTTAAAGATTTTTATCGATAATGCAGAACATTCCTTTACGATTGATAGCTATTTAGCGGTGCTTAAGATTGTTATTATAATATGTTTAAATTTTGGACATAGGCCCTTTTCAAATATTACGCAGAAATAATGGATTGCTGCAATCATCTTTGATAACGTTCCTTGATTTGCGTTCATAACATTTTGATATACTTGCCCATTCATTTTGAACTAAGCTGATTACACCCCAAGTAACCAACAAGCCCGTTAATCGCCCTTTTTGGCATATAAGACTGCTATACGACTTATATAAAGTTCGGAAACCCTATATTAACCTTATATCGCAAAAAAGGCGATTATCGGGTAGTTAGCGGGCTTGGTGGTTACTTGGGACTGTCTCCTAGGTACTGCACGCAGTACTAGAGACCACTTAATTTGTTTGAACCTAGGTGGCAGTGTGATAAACTAGAGTTGAAACACGGCCGATCTGAGCAACAACTAAAATGGCTCTTTTGATGTACCATCAATGGCACCCTTCTAGACAATTTTGAGAGGAGATCTCACGCAACACGAGAAAAGCGACAGTGAGCATGCATATGTAAGAGCGTAAACGCGATGATCGATTCTCTTTGTCGATTTTCTATTTTTATTAATAATTCGCTAGAATTAACATTTCTCGGTACGTTTGCTGTTGCTTTTAATACCCAATACAACCTGTTACAACTCTGCATTGAACAAATTCTAGAAAATTGTTTTGCCTAGCTGTAGCAATGCAAAGAAAAAATCCATGAAGAGAATGGATTTCTTCATCGATTTTCTCTTTCACGACTGCAAAAGAATTTCCCATTCAGTGTGTTGTTTCAGGCGCAAGCTAACATCATCTTCTGTCGAACTGTGCTGCGAGCTTAGCGAGAAATACGTTTATGTTGCCGTGGTAAACCAAGATAGGCCCTTATCAAATGTTACGCAAGAAATGTCATCTAAACCCATCGACGTATTTTAAAAAATAAGAAGCTCAAAATAATGCATATTTTATTGAACATATTATTAACATATTATTGATACAAACGACAAACGAATTAGATTTTGTATTGATCTGAAGTTATGTACAGCTCAAATAATTATTAGTCCGGTTTGAAAGGGTTGAGTTTTCATGTGCATGGAGGGGTTCAGATTTATTTTGCGTAAAAATAAGGAATTTCAGTGATGCACCAAAAACTTCCAGCAAATCAAAAGAAGGTGAATTTCCGCATGCTTCAACGAAATTTTAAAAATCTAGGAGGAAAGTCAAGGAACTTCAAGGCAATGCTTTTAACTTCAGTAAAATTGTGGAATCTTTTAAAAACTACTGTGAAATCAGGGAAGTCTAGATATGTCTTCTTCTTCTTCTTCTTCTTCTTCTTCTTCTTCTTCTTCTTCTTCTTCTTCTTCTTCTTCTTCTTCTTCTTCTTCTTCTTCTTCTTCTCTTCTTCTTCTTCTTCTTCTTCTTCTTTCTCGCATTTCAAGCTTATTGAGTATGGCATATTAGCTCATAGCGTGCTCTCAACTTAGTGTTCTAGATGCACTTCCACAATTTAGAAACTTCACAGAAGTTCAGAGATCTTCAAGAAAGTTTATGGATTATTAGAACTGTTCTGAAAGGCTCAGGCCAGTACCAAGAATATCAGGAGCATTGCAAGTACTTTTGAGAAGATCTTCAGGTAAGAGAACCGCAACTTCAGGGAAAATACAGAAATTTAACGAAGCGTCGAAAACTTCTGGGAATTTTCAAAACTTCTTTAAGTTCTTAGTATTTCAGAAAAAAAACCGAGAGTATCAAAAAGAGATCATACGAAAAATGGAGGAAACTTTATGGAAGTTCACAGATCTTCAGAAAAAGTTCCGTAATCGTAAGGTTGTTTCAAAAACTTTAAATTTTTTTTTAGGCAATCCGATTGACTTCAGGAAAATTGTGGAAACATTAAAAAGTTCTAATGACCCCAGCAAAGCTCAGTCGACTTCAGGTAAATCCATAACAATATCAGAGAAGTCAACAGAACTTCGAGGAACTTGAGAGAAATTCATGAAAGTTTAGAGATTTTTTAGGGAAGTAGCGTCAACTTCCTAGAACATGAGGAAAATTCTGGGATCATCAGTAACGATCAAACATTGGTCCATCATGATTAAGTGCACACTGATTATGTTCTTGAATAAATGATTAAACTTTATTTCTTTTTGAGGCTGCCGATTTTCCAAATGCGAACTGTCAGGCTTTACATTTCACACCTTCCGTCCGATTTTGTACCGCTGTTGTATCAACTTTATTTGATGCTTTGAACTGTTTCTCATTTCCAACTGTTTTCTGAGTTTTCTTGAGGTTCCACTTAACGATTGCCCAATATTTTTCGATTGGGTGCAGCTCCGGCGAGTTTGGAGGGTTTTTGTCCTTGGGTACGACTTGTACGTTGTTGGCGGTATACCGTTCCTGAGCCATTTTCCCGTAGTGATAGAAAGCGATTGTAGTAGATAGAGTTAGTGTGGAATAAATAATGAGTAGAATCGAGTGAGCGTGAAGCGTCATAGTCCGTATGCTTTATAAATATGAGGTACCTAAGCTTGTTCAGGACAGAAGTCTCCACTCCTGTCGGCCCTATCACCATCATTGCAACTTACTGCCCCAAGCAAGTCACCACCAGGGACGGGTCGGCAGCAGACCTACGGTGGGACATTATCATCACATCACATCAAGGACTACAACGCATCCAAGAACAATCGCTTCCTTTCGTTGACCTGCTGCTGACTTCATTCACCACCAAGGACTGCCACCCGTCGCAAGTGCGAATGTTCCCGCTGAAATCGCAAAGTTCCTACTCCGGATTGGTCAAGTTCCCGAGCGTAACCCAGGCGGTGAACGCCATCATGAAGTGCAATCACAGCGCGATCGATCACAAAGACACAAAATTCCCGTTCATTATGAAACTGTGCTCGTCCTCCTACAAGGCGATGACCGGTGCGTGGAGCAACGAGAACATCGAAAACACGTAAGCTTGAAAAGAGCAGAAGCTTCTTTTTATGAGAAAAGAGAGGATTTTCCTTTTTCTGTGTAGTTGACGTTGTGATAAGCAAAGAAGGTAGAGGAATTAAATGGAAATTACTAATCCTTCTCATGATTTCCTTGTTGGAGAGTTTTACTTGGAATGAAAACGGCATCAAGATCCTTTATTATGAAAACCTCGGTTGCTACGTCAATCGCTTGCTGGGAATATTCCAACACAACTGTCTATTTCTTCTGAGTTAAGGTCGCATTTTAAGAACATCAAATATTTGTATTGATATTCAGAAGCATTATGATTTCATGTCATAATTTGCAACATTTCTGCTGATGAAATTCCGGCTGATCTTAATTTGGACGTTGAACCATTTCTATCCCCATTATTTGGTCGACAGCCATGCAGCCAGCCAACAAAGCCCTAACCGTTGTTGACAAACTTTATGAGACCCGCACTGGCAGCCAGCAGCACCCATCATGCCATAATATCCAATGCAAGATCATCGGGCAAAGCGCGCGAGCATAAATTATTTATTTATATTAGGAGTCATCGCGTATGGCAAAAGCAGCAGAATCATATTCGTCTTTGGCTTGAGCATTTATGACTCTGTGGTACTCTCTTTCTCGCCCTCACTTGTTATGCTGAGAGAATATATGCATTAGGGTGGGTCAAGTTTGTATGGTGGATCACAATCCCATGCTCCTCACTGCTCTTCCGATGTGTATTGAAGTCCCCAACTACGGTGTCCAATTTGAACCAATTTGGTTATGATCTGGATTTCCGGAAGGATTCTTGATTTTGTATGGGAAACGAAACAGATTGCGAATACTATGCAGAACAACTTTGTCGAAGACTATAAATCAAGTAGACTTCTGAGAAAAAAGATATTCTATATTATTTTGATCTATTGCACCGCACATACCTACAGGCGTATATATGAGCTTGTAGGAACGTGTGGAAAACTTAGTCTAGAGTGGAAGATTAGTTACATTTTGTACAAATATCAAATCGATTTCCAGTCTTGGACAATGTTGTTTTGTATAGTATTTCCAATCTAAGTCTGAGATTCGGTAAAATTTGATCCAAAATTTGAATTTTTTATAAGTTAATGAATAGGGTCGTGTCGTTTCCCTTACATTTCCCATGCCAAATTTAAAATTCTGCTGCAAATCGAGGCTATAACCAAATTGGTTAGACCTCAAAACACATTAAAAGAGCGGTGGAGAACAGGGGCTGTAAAGATGACCCACCCTAATATGCATGTTTGCCTTATGCTGCGACAACGACGACGACGACGATGTGGTGGCGTTTGCCCTCAGCCAGAGAAAAATGCACCGCTGACTGCCGCAGGGAGTGGAGTGCCACAACCGGATCGAGAGGAATGCCGGAGCTGAAGAAAAAAAAAAAAGCGAGAACCATGCATAACCACTAACTGCCATTCAGCTTTGGTGAATTATGGGCTGAGAGATAATGAAATTATTAAAATTTATGGATGATTCCGACAAGGGAAAGGGGAAGGGCATTACATTTGCAATGTGAATCAGATGGTCGGGGGAATGCTCGCATGAGTTCGAGTGGAATTTATGATCTGCGAAGAACTGTGCGCGGATTGTGGTGGAGGGAGGTGTGAAATTATGTTCTGAATGGGTTCCTCTGTCGACATCCGAGACGATCGCAGTAATCGCAGAGATTTCGGTTTTGAAATTCGCTGTTGTTGTGGAAATTTTTCAAGTAGAAAATTTCACCAGAAAATGTCACTGGATTTGACCCTGGATGCCGGAGAGGAGATGCGTTTCCTGAACAAGGTTAGCCGATTAGTGCGGCGGTTGGTGAAGAAGACCCATTTCACGAACCAGGAGCTGGAGGTTTGTCTGCTGATGTACCACAAGCTTTCCAAGGACGACGAGGACAACCAGGGGAAGGTTTCCCGTCATCAGCTGGATGTGGTTTTTGATAGTGTTTTCGGGATATCCGATAGCGAAACGGTTGGACGAATCTGTGCCGCACTGGACAATGGTGTCACTGCCTTCATTAGTATGGAATCGTGGGCCAAAATGTTGTCCCTGTTCCTCAGAGGGACCTTTGACGAGAAAATTGAACACTGCTTCCGAGCGTACGACATCGGAGGAGAAGGCATGATTCGACGTGAGCACATGATGATTTTGCTTAGGAACTGCTTCATCAGACACCAGGAGGAGGAAGTTGAAGAATTTGTAAAGGACCTTGTTGACATTCTCATTCGAAGGATGGACGTCGATCGAGATGGAGCCATTTCTCTGGAGGATTTCCGTGTATCGGTTCACAAGTCCCCGGAGCTGCTGGAATGCTTTGGACAAACCCTGCCTGATCGAGCGCATGTTTATGCGTTTTCCAGAACGTTCTTAGATCGAGTAGCTGAGTTCTGACACATTATCTCGTGATACATCATTTCAACTGTTACGTAAGCGAATATTTAATAAAAAGTAATAAAACACTCATTTCGCTCCCACCAAAAAGTAAATTCAATTACTCAACAAAGCCATAAAAGTCAATCAAAAACTAGTTTGTTTCAACATGCACTCTCTCCAGAGTCGCTCCCGACAACCCAAAAAGAAATGACACAAATCCAGAAAGATGAATCAAAAGCCGAAAACTTTCAAACTGCGTCTATGAAAGCGAAAAACAAATCGTTTCAAATTAGAAAACAAGTGGCCGGCTCTCCCGGTTTGGTATTTTTTATTTTCTCGAAAATTAATCTCCTAAACGATTCTTCATATATAACGACGACGACGACGACGATGGCAGCGGCAGCATCCATCTGACTGCACTCGGTTGAAGACTAGCAGTGGTCCAGCGGAGATCATAGCTTGTGTGTTCAGCTGCTGGTGCTGTTCCGGATGCTGCTGTGGGATAGGATGAATGGAGATCAAAGGAGAATCTTAGCTTAAATTTGTTTTTATGACAACATGTCATACTCTGGCAGTAAATCTCGCTCGAGGCTTGCTAACTGGTTAGGTGGAGTCTAAGAGATTTAAAGCCGGTACCATCCAAGCAGGAAATAGTGAGTACTTCGAGTTGTAGTTGCTAAATGTTACTGCATGAGGAATGCAATGTTGGGAAAAATCTAGGTCGACCATCGTTGAAGGTTTTTGGTTTAACAGGTCAAGTCAGAGCAGAAATAAATAAATAATAAACTAACTGAAACAACCAATAAATCAATAAATAAATAAATCAATAAATGAAAAGATTAATAAATAAATAAATCCTTAAATCAATAAATCAGTATATCAATACATAAAAAAATCAATAAATTGATAAATCAATAAATCAACAAATCAATAAATCAATATATCGATAAACCAATATATCTATAAATCAATAAATCAAAAGATCATTAAATCAATAAACCCAAAGGCCAAATCATCAACAAATCATCAAATAAATAAAATAAAAATAAATCAATTAATCAATATATCAATAATTCAATAAATCTATATATCAATATATCAAGAAATCAATCAATCAATAAATCAATAAATCAGTCAATCAATAAATAAATCAATCAATCAATCAATCAATCAATCAATCAATCAATCAATCAATCAATCAATCAATCAATCAATCAATCAATCAATCAATCAATCAATCAATCAATCAATCAATCAATCAATCAATCAATCAATCAATCAATCAATCAATCAATCAATCAATCAATCAATCAATCAATCAATCAATCAATCAATCAATCAATCAATCAATCAATCAATCAATCAATCAATCAAAAAATCAATCAATCAATCAATCAATCAATCAATCAATCAATAAAGTAATAAATAAATTAATAAATCCATAAATCAATAAATCTTAATATTAATAAATCAATAATCGATAGATAAATATTTTGATCAGTCCATAAATCAATAAATCAATGCATAAATAAATCAATAAATAAAACATTGAATAAATCAAAAAAATCAGTTAATCAATAAAGTAATAAATCCATAAATCAATAAAACAATAAATCAACAAACCAATAGATCAATAAATTAATTAGAAAATAAACCAATAAATAAATAAATCAATAAATCAACAAACTCAAAAAATAAATAAATAAATAAATCAAGAAACCCATATATTTACAAATCAATAAATCAAAAAATAAATAGATCAATAAATCAATAAATGCAATTATCAATAAATCAAAACATCGATAAATCAATAAATCTATAAAAAAATAATCAATACATCAATAAATCAAAAAATCTAAAAACCAAGCAATTTTTTAAAAAATAAATCATAAAATCAATAAAGCAATAAATCAATAAATCAATATATCAATACATCGGAAAATCAATACATCAATAAATCAATAAATCAGAAAAATCAATGTGTCAATAAATTAATAAAAAAATAAATAAATAAACCAATTAATCAATAAATCAATAAATCAATAAATCAATAAATCAATAAATCAATAAATCAATAAATCAATAAATCAATAAATCAATATATCAATAAAACAAAAAATCATAAAATCAATATATCAATAAATCCATTAATTAATCCATTAATTAATTAACGGCGCCGGTGGTGTAGTGGTAAGCGTGATTACCTCTCACCCCAGCAGGCCTGGGTACAATTCCAGTCGGCGCCGCCGGGATGTTCTGAGGCATAACATCTCTGATCACGCCTTCCTTCGGATGGGAAGTAAAGCCGTTGGTCCCCGGTTCATGAGTTGATGGGTCGATAGGTAGGGTCCAGGTGTGGGAGCTGCCTTCCTGGCACGTCGGTAGCATTGGTGCTCAGCTCGGAAAACAAGATCGACGGAAAAAACAAACCAAAGGAAAAAAAAGAATAATTAATTAGCCAATTCATCAATAAATCAATAAATAAATAAATCAATAAAACAAGTTAAAATTAAATAAATAAATCAATATATCAATAAATCAACATATTAATGAATCAATAAATCAATAAATCAATAAATCAGTAAATCAATATATCAAAAAAACAATAAATCAATACATCAATAAATCAATAAATCAATAAATCAATAAATCAACAAATCAATAAATCAATAAATCAATAAATCAATAAATCAATAAATCAATAGTTCAATATACCAATAAATAAATAAATCAATAAATTAATAAATCAATAAATCAATTAATCAATTATTCAAAAAATCCATAAATCAATAATTCAATTGTTCAATAAATCAATGAATCAATAAATCAATAAATCAATAAATCAATAAATAAAATAATCAATAAATTAATTAATCAATGAATCAATAAATCAAGAAATCAATAAATCAAGAAACCAATTAATCAATATATCAATAAATCAATAAATCAATAAAGCAATAAATCAACATATCAAAAAATAAATAAATCAATTAATCAATAAACAAAAAAATAAATAAATTAATTAATTATTAACTAAATAAATCAATATATCAACAATACAATAAATAAATATATCAATAAATCAAAGAACCAATAAATCAAGAAATCAATAAATCAATATATCAATAAATCAATAAATCAATAAATCAAGAAATCAACAAGTCAAGAAATCAAAAAATCAATTAAACAAGAAATCAAAAATTCAAAAATTCAATAAATAAAGAAATCAATAATTCAAAAAACCAATAAATATTTTAATCAACAAATAAATAAATAAATAGATCAATTAAACAATAAATCAATAAATCAAGAAATCAATATATCAAAAAGTCAATAAATCAATAAATCAAGACATCAATAAATTAAGAAACCAATAAATCAATAAATCAATAAATCAATAAATCAAAAAATCAATAAATCAAGAAATCAATAAATCAAGAAATCAAAAATTCGATATATAAAAAAACCAATAAATCAATTACTCAATAAATCAATTAAACAATGAATCAATTAAACAATGAATCAATAAATAAAAAAATCAATAATTCAATAAATCAATAAATCAAGATATCAAAAAATAAATAGATCAATAAATCAAAAAATCAATAAATCAATAGATCAAGAAATCAATTAATCAAGAAATTAATCAATCAATAAATCAATTAATCAATAAATCAATAAATTAAATAGATCAAAAGATCTTGAAATCAATTAATCCTTAAGTCAATAAATCAAGAAATCAATAAATCAAGAAATCAATAAATCAAGATATAAATTAATAAATAAATCAATACATCAATAAATCAATAAATCAATAAATCAATAAATCAATAAATGAATAAATCAATAAATGAATAAACCAACAAATCAATAAATCAATAAATCAATATATCAAGAAATCAATAAATCAAGAAACCAATTAATCAATATATCAATAAATCAATAAATCAATAGAGCAATAAATCAACATATCAAACAATAAATAAATCAATTAATCAATAAACAAAAAAATAAATAAATTAATTAATTATTAACTAAATAAATCAATATATCAACAATTCAATAAATAAATACATCAATAAATCAAAGAATTAATAAATCAAGAAATCAATAAATCAATATATCAATAAATCAATAAATCAATAAATCAATAAATCAAGAAATCAACAAGTCAAGAAATCAAAAAATCAATTAAACAAGAAACCAAAAATTCAAAAATTCAATAAATAAAGAAATCAATAATTCAAAAAACCAATAAATATTTTAATCAACAAATAAATAAATAAATAGATCAATTAATCAAGAAATCAATATATCAAAAAGTCAATAAATCAATAAATCAAGACATCAATAAATTAAGAAACCAATAAATCAATAAATCAATAAATCAATAAATCAAAAAATCAATAAATCAAGAAATCAAAAATTCGATATATAAAAAAATCAATAAATCAATTACTCAATCAATCAATTAAACAATGAATCAATTAAACAATGAATCAATAAATAAAAAAATCAATTATTCAATAAATCAATAAATGAAGATATTAAAAAATAAATAGATCAATAAATCAAAAAATCAATAAATCAATAGATCAAGAAATCAATTAATCAAGAAATAGATCAAAAGATCTTGAAATTAATTAATCCATAAGTCAATAAATCAAGAAATCAATAAATCAAGAAATCAATAAATCAAGATATCAATAAATAAATAAATCAATACATCAATAAATCAATAAATCAATAAATCAATAAATCAATAAATCAATAAATCAATAAATCAATAAATCAATAAATCAATAAAACAATAAATCAATAAATCAATAAATCAATAAATCAATAAATCAATAAATCAATAAATCAATAAATCAATAAATCAATAAATCGATAAATCAATAAATCAATAAATCAATAAATTAAAAAGATCAAAAATCTTTAAATCTATTAATCCAAAAGTCAATAAATCAATACATACATAAGTCAATAAATCAACAACAAAAATTATTGATTATTAATTAAATGAAAAACGATTATCGAATAACATGACTAATTACTATTAAC